CTGAGAATCAAACCCAGTGCCTCACACATTCTAGGCAAGTGCTCTACCACTGAGCCACAACTTCAGCCCCAGTGAAAACTTTTATATACCCTGTCCTTCCTTTACTGTAAAGTCGCCACCCACCCACCCTGACCTAGGAGAAATCAGGTAGCAATATGGGGAATCTCACCTGATAAGTTGGGAGGGGTCCCCGGGACTGAGGATGTGGCATCATCCCACCCCGGTTGGAGTCATGGCCACAGGGCTGCACTCCAAAGGAAGGTGAGCTCCCTTTTTGGTGATTCATCTGAGGTGGGAATCCCAGAGAAGGGCTGAAGAGGAGAAGAGGTGGCAGTTACTGAAGACTACCAGCAAGTCTTTGAAGTTATTGGACAATTTAGAGGATTTTTTAATAAGACTTGATGTAAGGCTTGGTCAAGGCAGCCCTAAGGGAAGTTCTGAGGAGGGTTTCAATGACTTTGAAGTGAAAAGGATTCAAATTGGGCTGGAAATTTAGATGACTTGAGGCTTTTAGTGGTTTTCAGTTGGAGTCTTAGCCAGAGAATGTCTGTACCTCATGGTGCCAATGGAGAGATGGCCATAGGAGCCTCCAGGAGATGTGCAGCGGGAGTTGATGAAGGCCACAAGGGAGCTGGGTGAGGTGCGGATAACTGTCTGCAGGTCCAGGCTGGTATCTGACAGAGGAGAGATGGACAGTGCCCGCTTCTTGGTCAACTTGACAGCATTCCGGGGAGGAGGAAAGAGTGACCCTGGAGTAAGAGACAGAGGAGATAAAGGGAATCTCCATGTACCCAACCTGTGGGTCCTCTCAGAAAAAAATAATACTCTGCTTTGTGCTACTGATTCCAGCTGTGACCACTTGGTTGTTCTCTGACCCCTCACATCTCTGAGCATTTCCTCCTCCCAACTAGATCCCTGCCCTCCCACTTTGTTCTACAAAACAAGTCCCAGAGTAGAAAGGAAAGAGGTTTTCCCTGAGGACTCACCCTCGGTGCAGCTGTTGTTCTCTCTGGCTGGCATATAACTGTGGGGACCCGACGTGAGGTTGGCTTGATGGCAGAAGGGCAGACCAGTCAGTCCTAGAAAAGAGAGACAGCTGGAGTGCAGAATGGGAATGGAGGACATAGGCCTCACCTTAAAGTCCCAGGCAAGACCTGACCCCAGATTCCAAGCCTATATAGCATAGAGCCTCAAATCCTCCTGTAAGAAAGGAAACTGATAGGGGATAGGGAAAGTACTGAGGGGGATCCTGGGGTTAGACGAGATATCTGACCAGGGATTGGTAAATACACTGACCTTCTGTCCCCATGCTGGGGGCCCCTTGACTGAGGAGGGGTCGAAGACAGCATGACTCAACATAGCTACTGACTGGTGGTGGGGTCATCGAGTTGAACATGATGTCTCAGAGGAGGGTGTGGGGACACTGTAGAAAGGGAAGGTAGAACTGCAGGTTATAAAGATGGAGGGAAGTAAAGAAGATCAGATGATAATCTCAGGCACAGAACTCTGGCAGCATGTCTCCTGTGCCCCCAGCCCATCTAAGACATAGGCCATGGAAATCAAATTGAAAAGAACATCATTCAACCAAGGAAGGGATAAAGAGAAACATCCCAAAGAGGCAGAGGCTGTCAGAAAGTCTTGGGGATCTTTTTGGGAAATGGGTAGGAGCTTTCCCTGGGTGATCTATCTATCTAGAAAAATGTGTGTGTGTGTGTGTGCGCGCGCCACGGGGTGTGTGTGTGTGTGTGTGTGTTAAGAACCTATTGAGCCAGGATGAGTTTCAAGTGATTTTAATGTCATGGACCAGTTTTGAGGATTGTGATGGGAGAACTCATGTGGAGACTTCATGCATTGGGCTGCTCTGCCTGTTCCTTTCCTTGGCTTGCCCCTGCCCCAGGACAGTTCATCCGCAATCTCTGCAGTGTCCGGTAGAGGGAGACCTCGCTACAGTCCACACAGACTGGTAGGGCCAAGAGAGAGCTCAAAAGATCAATCTGCCCTTAGGAGAAAATTGTAGAGGGGGAATAAGGTTTCAGAGGGGGTGCTCTCAGGTCTGTTAGGTACAAGGGATGGAAGTTAATGTCACTCTGGGGTGGTTTGGATTTGGTCTCCTTTTGAGGGGAACAGGAAAGAGAGTGTGGGGGAAGGCTTCTTGGAGAGTGAAAAAAACAAAGTCATCATCGATTAGAAGGGAGTAGTGAGGAAGGAGAGGATGCTATGATCGCATTTCTCCTCAAACTCCAGTTTTCATTCCATTCCTGGTTTTCCGGTCTCCCGGGAGTGAGGGTGGGGTGGGGCGGGGTGGGGTGGAGAACGGCCGGGAGCGGGCCGGCCAGCGCGGTGGGTGATCCCGGGATGCTGGGATTTAGGGTGAGGGCGGGGTAAAATGGGGAGTGGAACCCGGACCCTACGACCTAGCCCGAGCCCTGCAGCCTGGGCTGTACCCTTCTAAACTCCTCCTTTTACAGCTGAGATCCCGATCCCGCACCCAAGACCTCCCAACTCGACCTTGGCACTAATGTTAGGAGCGGGGGGCACAGCTGGCTGGCAGCTGGAAGAGGGGGGCACTTCTCCCGCCTCCTTCCACTATGACTCACCCAGGGAAAGGAAGATGGTTTGCAAACGACCCCCCAACACTAGAAAGATTCCCCCAAACGTGCCTTCTGTTATCTTCCTGTCCTAATACCAAGCTGCCGAGAAGATGCGATGGAACTGGGGTGACATCCCTCTTCGCCCACGCGTGCAACAGCCAACCCACGCCTCCCCTTCACACTATAAAAGGAAAATGTCGCTAACTTTTCCAGTTTCAGTAGTTTTTTTCTGGGGAATGGGTGATAATGCGGGATGGGCAGGGAGTCCTAAGGTTCCTCTGCCGGAGCCCTAAATCATCTTCGGTGTCTCCCTATTTTCTAGTGTCCTCTTAGTACCCCAACTCCCAGGAGTCGGCCCCGCCCCCTTCTCCTGGTCCCGCCCTCCCCGCCCCCGTGCCTCCCCGGCCCACCCAAGTCGCCGCCGCAGGCTCCGGCTGCAGACGGCTCCGCTTCCCCCGCCCGCCCGGGGAGCCCAGTCGAGCAAGGAGTTAGTGGCGGGCGGCGGCGGCGGCGGCGGGGGAGGGGGGGCGGGACACATTCTTCCCTCCTCCCCTCAGCGCATCCAGAAAGCTGACAGAGGTGCTCTGGGATGGGGGGCATTATTGGAGAGCAGGGATCTCAGTATGGTAGGTTGAGAAAGAAAGATGAATCCAGTTAACCAAAGCGCGAGAAAATGACTGGGTAAATAAAATACATCTATGCGGAGGAGGTTCCCGGGTACGTCTTAGGTTCCCGGGTATCACGGCTGGCTTCTTAAGGGTTAACCCTTCCAGACCCCCGGGAACCCCCTAGTGACGTCAAGGGCGGGGTCTGAGTCCTCGGGCGGGGATGCCCTGGAGATAATGAGGGGGGGTCCTCTGGACCCCGCCCCCTAGGGAAAACCACCCTATTCTGGCTCTTATTTCTCCCCCAAGAAATCTCCCAGCCTTCTTCCTCTATTGGAAGGAAAGATCCATCCCATTAAGACCCCAGTTCTTCAGTCCCCTAAAACCCTCAGTCTCTACGGGGTCCCTTTTCCCTAATCCTGTCCCTAAAGCTAGCTGCCCAGGGCTAATTGTTTCGGGGTCATGGGGCCTGAAAGAGGCTTCAGAGCGGGGAGTAAGGGCAGGCAGGGTGGTCTGAGCCAGAGGAGGGGCCTTGGTCCCCAGCTCCAGTTTGGGAAGGCGACCAGCAGCGATACACAGGCTGGCAGTGGCCAGTAGTTCCGCCCAGCCCCAGTAGGGTCTCCCTGCGGGTGGCTATAGCTGTCCTGGTGGTCCCGAGGTCAGAGGGTCAAGACAAGGTCTCCCCATCTCCTCCCAGAGCAATGCCCACAGCCCGTGGGACTCAGGAGTCCAAAATTGCTTGGGATTTGTCTAAGGCCTAGACTACACCTTGGACATTCCCTCCCTAGTCCCGAATGCTTTCCTTTTCCCCAAAACTCAAGCATCCGCGGGCACATCTGTCACTAGACAGGTCAAGGGTCCAAGGCCAGTGGTTTTGTTGCCTCTCACACACACACCCTATCCCCACCCCACCTAGAGCTCCCTCCTTTGCTGTCAGTCCCCTCCTCTTAGAAACACTGACGTCTTCCAGCCCGGCTCTCAGAGACACACCTGGAGTTCCCTGTCTACCACGCAGACCTCCAACTGGCCGTCCCAACAGTCTCTTCATCCCAACCTCAAGAAAGGAAGATGTTTCTAATATTGTGTGAGAGGCAGAGATAGACAAAGAGACCCACGGTTGCCTGAGACAGACACACAGACAGGGAAAAAAGAGCAGATAGAAAAGGAGACACAAATGAAAAATTTCTCCAAACTTTCTAATATCCTTTCCCCGTCTCTCCCACCCCATTTTGTCTCTCTGCCCCAGGTCTCCCTCACGGCTGGGAAGAGTCCTTCGGCAGCAGAGCATCCCCTTTGGATCCCCTCCCCCACCGCTCCCAGGTGGTCCCCCGCCTGCCCCCCTTCTCACCTCCGTCTGGACGCAGGGCTCGGGATGCACGGTCCAGGGCTAGTCTGGGCTGGGGGGTGTGCGGTGGGGAGGGGGGGTGGACAGGGCCACGGCAGCGCAGCCTCAGTGCCACCCCACCCCCCCAACCTGGCCCCCAGCCCTCCCGCCGGCCCAGCCCGCCGGGCCGCAAGCCGGGACCACCCGCGAGAAGCGCAAACTTTTTTTTTTCCTTTTGCAAAAACTTTTTCTTGCTTTAGCCGCTGGCGCGCCGCCGCTCTTCCCGCTCACCCCTCACCTCCCTCCTATTTCTCTCCCTTTTGCTGTTCTGGTAGATGAGGTGGGGTGGCTGGAAGCGAGCGAGGGGGTGCCGGGCTTATTGCACCCCCAGGACCCCCAGGATCCTCCCCCTCCCTAGAGGGACCCTATACTGCCCAACCCCCCCCCCCCCCTGCACGGTTTAACACGCTGCTGGTGGTTGGCAGGAAATTCCGGAATGGATTCTAGGATCAGTCGTCAATGAGGAGTCCCTGAACCAGAGCCAGGAATACACTGAGAAAAATACTGCGGAGCGAGGAAAGAAGGGAGAGAAGTTCGTACGAGAAAGATAATATTGGAAGGTAGGGTCGTGGACTTTTGTTGGTGTTAACTGAATATTCTATCACCCTCTAGTTTATCTGCCAATCTCATTCTTTGGATGGAACTTTGAGGGGTTGGGATAGAGCTAGGATTTGAGCAAACTGAATTGAGGGGTTGGCGGCTGTGGCGGAAGGTTAAGGATCTAGGGAGCCTAAAAGAGAGAAACACTGACTGGAGCTCTGGATTCGGGGTGTGTATTCACAAGGTCACTAAGGAATCCTGGGTCTAAAGCCCTTTCCCGAGGTTCCCTTCACTCCAACTTCTAAAGACTGCCGCCACCTCCGCACCTCTCCCCACTGCGGACTTTCTGCTCTTTCAGGCTTTCTGCTCCCTCTGCTGGCGGTTCTGGCACTTGACACCATCTTGGAGTCCGGGAAAATGCAGGCACGATGGAGCTAAAGAAGCTTTGACAGATCTCCCACCACCACCACAACCACGAAAACCCAGTTAGGATCCCGGAGACGGGGATGTAGAGCCCAATGAAATGGAGGGCACACTTGCGAGGCTGTTAATGCCTAGCGGTTGTGCCTGACGAGGGGTGCCCTGTCCCTTTGGATTTGTGTTGCCATAGTGACTGTATTCAGGGATGGGGGCAGCTATTTCAGTCTCTGGTCTTTCTGATAAAGAAGAGAAAGCATGATGGCGGAAAGGAGACCCTTCCCTTTAATGTCATCTCTCAGACAGACCTCCCACATCCTAGCTATGTCTCCAAGGACCACTTTTTTAAGTCTGGAAGGTCAGTGGTCCTACAGTTCTATCTGAGAATCAAGGGGGAAAAGAAAAGGTGAAGCTAGGGGCAGGCCAGAGGTCCTACAACAGGGTAGTGATTCTGGGGGTGGGGACGTATAGGGAACACTGTTTGAGTCTGCCTCCCCACATGACTGACTCAAACCACTTACACATAGAAGGTCATGGACCTTTACCCTGCACCCAATTCAGTCAGGCTGACCAATGGTCATTGAAAAAAGAAGGGACACAACATATGCTCCCTTCCCAGATGCCTGCCCCTTCTTCAGAGGAGTTCTTTTAGAACACACTATAGATCAGCAATTCTTAAACTTTTTTATGTTTTAAGACCTCTCTATGCTCTTCAAAATTATTGAGCTTTTTTTTTGCATGAGATCTAGATCTATCAATTTATCATATTAGAAATTAAAACAAAAAATTATAACACAAGAATACACAAGTTCACATTCCATTAAGAATAATGTTAGAAAGATGATGTAATTGCTTGAAACACTCTGGAAAACTCCATTGTACGATTTTGAGACAATGAGAATAAAAAAGACAAATAACATCTTAATATTATGCAAATAGTTTTGGCTTTTGGAAACCCTGAAAGGGTCTCAGGGTCCTCCTTGAGATCCCCACATCACACTTTAAAAACTATTACTCTGGACCATCACCTTGGCCCTTCTTCATGACTCACATTTGTTGATTTGCTTTCTCTCTTTTATTAAGAAAGTATAAGCTGGACATGGTGGCACACACCTGTAATCCAGTGGCTTGGGAGGCTGAGGCAAGAGGATCATAAGTTCAAAACCAGCCTAAGCAATTTAGAAAGACCCTGTCTCAAAATTAAAAAATAAGAAAGGGCTGGGGATGTGGCTCGTAGTTAAGAGCCCTGGGTTTAATCCCTGGTAACGAAAAAAAAAAAAAGAATAAATGTTTGTGTTTCCCCAGGGAAAATCAGAGAATTTCTTAGGCTCAGCACCCCTTTTTCCTTATTTCTGCTTCTGGAGTTTTCCTAAACACCCTCCCTTGGCACCTTGTTCATCTCCCTCTTGACCCTCCCTTAAAGCACTGAACAATCCCTACCCTTGGCCAGCCCATTTGCCCTGTCCCAAGCTTGCTGAAACTTCTGCTTCCTCCCTTTCTTGAGGACTTACTCTTCTTGGGAGAGATTAAGTAATTTTCTCTGCCTTCTCCTTCCCTCTCTTCCCTGCTAGCCCCTGCCATCTTCTCACTTGGGGTAGAAAATCATACTGCCTGGGTAGTCCCCTTAGAGGAAATACTTTACCCATTTGCCCACATATCAACCAGCCTGAAAAAGGCCAAAAGTCTGGGACAAGAAAGTGTGCATTTGGGTCACATAGGGGTCAACCCTGACATAGTGCCAGGTGGTCTTGTTGGGTGGAGGTGCGGATCAGGAAATCTGATGCCTCCAGACACAGATGCCCTTTACCTGGGAACCCCCAACTTGATATCTTCTATCTGAACCCCCAAGTCCTCTTGCTAGCTACAACCACAAGCCTCCACCACCATATCTGGCACATCCGTCTTGACCACATTGCCATTATGGTCAAGGTAGAGGAGAGAGAGAGGCCTTCGGGCAGTAGGGACACAACAGGAAGTACCCTCAGGCCAAGGATTGTTGGCTTTAAGGAGGCTGAAGACAGCAGAATGGAAGGAAGCAGCAATGCCAGGGCTGCCAGCCAGGTGGGGAGGGCACTGCCCACTGCAGTAATTCAGCTGGTAACCTTCAGGCTGCAGGATCCAGTCTCGCCATCCCAGTTCCTGAAAGTCTACATAATGATCTCGCCTACAACATAAGGGGGTCTCAGGCTCACAGGTGGGAGTCCTCCTCTTGGCCCGGCCTGCTTCAGGCTCGTTGACACGAATCTTAAGCTCCAGGAAGGGCTGCTGGTGTCCGGTAGTGTCCAGTAGCCACCTCAGTGGTCCAGTAATTGTCTTGTTGCCTTCTAGGGATCTGCAGTTCAGTTGGAGTTTCAAGACAGCAGATTCCTCACCTCTCAAGCCACTAGAGGGCAGAGTAAGGGCATGCCAGCCTGGGGTAGTGATTTGGTGCTCTGCCAGGAGGGTCCGGGATCCTCTGTGCTTCCTCCTTGGGCCCCATCGGAAGATCCTCAGGTAAAGAGTGCCAGGAAAGGTTCGGAGCACATGCAGCCAGAGACGGGCATGGTATAGGTGGTGGGACTGAACAGTGGACAGGTGGAAGGTGAGCATGGAGCTGCAGATTGAAGTGGAGGAGTCTGCCCAGAAGACAATTAACATGTGAGCAGAGATAAAACTCTCTCTGAAGCTCCCTAGAGTCTACCCACTGCTCTCCCTTATGCTCACTTTTAGGGAAAAAAAAAAAAAGAAGAGACTGCCTTGTGTCTTAACAACCATTCCCTGCCCTAGCTCCTCCGTCTGCTGCCACACCCCACTCTCTCTGCCTTTCTTTCAGTCTTCCCTTCTCTCTCCCTTTCTTTGTCTGCTCTCCGCCTATGTCTTTTCTCACCCACCTGTGATGGTAGCAAAGCTGATGACCTCCTCCCCATTCCCTGGAGCCACAATCCCAGGCTGTAGTCTCCGAAGGGCTCTGGTCAGCGCTGCCTGGGGTGGAGCATGAATTATTCTAGGACGACTGGTCAGGTGCAGCCCCTCCAGGATTTGTTGCTTGGCTAGCTCCAGGACCAGAGCTCGTTCTGCTTGGGGTGCCAGTGTTGGGCTCTCACAGGAGGTGCATGCAGATCTTGTGCCCTGTGCCCATATTAGTACCCACAGCAGCACCAGCCAGAGCTGGACATCTGGGAGCTCCACGCTCCTGGTGGATGACCCTGGGTCGGGAGCCTTGGATGGCAGTTGCTCGTCTATTGAGTCTGATTGCATGGAGGCCAGTAAGGGCTCAGCAGCGGCAAACACCAGTGCCACAGCTACCCTTGACCAAAGGTAGGCTACTTGTCTTCTGTGGCCTGGGACTCAGGAAGGCTGTAAATGGATCGTCCGATGGGTAGCTGTTTGACCCAAACAGTTCATGGTCTGGCTACTGACCTGGGGCCTCTTTAGAGCCAGCTGCCTGGGGCTTCCTCACCTAGTGGTCAGCCAGCAGACCTACCCTCTGAACCTTAGGATTGGCCAGCTGTGCTGCCCATCAGGTTCCTGCAAGGGGTGAAGGTCCCCCCCTGGGGCTCGGGTTTCACCATCTGGCTGTGGTGGCTTGAGGCAGGGGCATGGTAGGGCGGGGGGACAACGTGGACACACATGATGCAAGAAAGAGGATGATTTCACATACTCAGTTCCCAAGGTCTGGGACTCAGAGGAGGGACTCCATATAAGCCAGGTGGGGAAGGGCAATTTCCCCCCAGTTCAGTCTTTACTTTTCCCAGTCACCACTCCCGCAGCAATTTCTGTGAGGCAGCTGTTAGTTCCAGTGTTTATTTCTCTGGGGTCTCTGGTCCAGAAGGATTATGGTCTATTTCTAGAACTTGGGACTGGGACAGGGGTGAAGGGTTAGGGGGTGGTAGGAGAACGGAGTCCTTCTGTTCATGCTAAGGTGGCAGAGCCACGGGACATAGAAATCACCCCCTGACCCTGCCTGTGCTGTCCGCCCAGAGTCCAATTGGACTGGTGCACAATGTGGAGGAGGGCCAGAACAAGGTGTGGGGGACGTGCTACTGTGATGTCTGGGGAAACCCAGAGAGGTGGGGGTGGTAGTGATGCAACCTTACAGCAGGGCAGAGTCCATCAAGGCTGGCAGAAGGGCATGCGACTTGGAAGGGCCTGTACCCAACTGCTGCTTCTCTTTCAGGGTGCTATAAGAGTTTCCTAGGTTTGAGGCATCCTAGAAGTGGTGTGAGGCCTCTGTAAATGGAGTTGGGAAATGGGAGGTTTAAGAGGTTTTGAGAACAAAGCAAGAGAGTACACCAACCTTAGTTCCCAGTCTCAGCCCTCCTTACTATACACTTCACTGATTTTTTAAAAATTTCTTTCAAGATAAAGTTTTGCTATGTCACCTAGGCTGGCTTTGTACTCCTGGGCTCAAGTGATCTTCCTGCTTCAGCCTACTGAGTAGCTTGGATTATAGGTATATGTCACCTGCCTAGTCTTCAAGGACTTTAAATAGGAGTAGAAAGAACCTTTAATAGGATGGGCCTCGGGCTAGCTTTTCTCAGTCTGCCCCAGTTTCTTCAAGAAGCTGGGGGAGGCAGCAAGGAGAAAACTGTTGGGAAGGTAGTGTGATTTGGAAATGTGTCCCTATACCACTTATTCTTCTTCTTGCTGTTCAGTTGGTGGAGCTGTCAAGAGCCATCAAAAGGGGGTCCCACCTTGGGGGCTGGGCCTCAATACCACCAGTGTCCACTATGTGGCAGTGCTGTGCCACTGGACAGCAGCTGGCTTCTAGATGACCAGAGCTTCCCAGGGACTGGAAAGGGACTGCTGTTGGGAATCAAGAGATTAGGAGTGTGCCTTACCCTCTCCCTCTGGGACCCTGCCTCCTCCACAGGGGTCGGGGAAGAGCTGGTTCCTCTACTATTCCCCCTCACCACTGCCGGAGAGCAGAGGCTATCCTCAGGGATGCATCACTGCCACCTCTGATTTTAGACCTCATCATACTGACAACATGGCAATGGAGCACGATGTCTGGTGCCAGGCTCTTCTTTGGAACTTAGGGCACCATATGGAAAGGAGACAAAAGAAGGGACAATAAGATTCCTACATGCTCCTGTGCACACTGCATTTCTCTCCAGGCCCTGAAACATTCAAGTCCTTTGGCTAGTATTTTCCCAAGCTCCTAATTCCCTTTCTGTTGGTTGCTGCAGGTGAGTTACAGCCCTCTAGTCCCTGAGACTTGAAATACGAGATTGCAAAGTGGAGTTGTCTGTCCATGGTGGTGCCTGGGGGGACTTACCTGTTTGTGCCAGGAAACAGAGTCATGGGAAGTAGCAAGAAATGGCTGCAGGAGTTACTGATCCTGACTCTCCACACCCTGTCAGGTGCCCCCAATTTCCAGCTCTTCCCACCCTCTTGCTGTTACGCCTGGCCTGGCCCTACCTCCCCACTGACACTTACGTCAGAACTCAGCTATAAATACGCTCTTAGCATCTTAGTCACTTTTCCCAAGAAGTGCTCCGGGGTTATAAATACCCCAGCCATCTGCCTCACTGCCCGCCCTACCACCAACCTGGTTGGGGGCTGGGGGTAGGGACAGGCTTGGGGGTGGGTAAGGAAGTAGCAGAAGCAGGAGTACTTGTCTTGCCCAAATGAGAACAGCCTAAAAGAGTTAGGAGGTAAGGGCTACGAGGCTCAGGAAGAAAATGTTGGAAGAAGACAGACCTATTCTTTCCCCTTTTTACATAAAGCAGAACCAAAAAAAAAAAAAAAAAAGGAATGATATGGATCCTGTGTTTATTTAAAAATATGCTATTTTGTTCATCATGGATTTTTTTGCATTAATTTTGACATTTAAAAAACATTGCAGCCAAGCGCAAGTGGAACATGCCTGTAATCCCAGTGGCTCGGGAGGTTGAGACAAAAGGATCGTGGGTTCAAAGTCATTCTCAGCAAAAGTGAAGTGCTAAGCAACTCAGTAAGACCTTGTCTTTAAAAAATATATAAAATAGGGCTGGGGATGTGGCTTAGTGGTGGAGTACCCCTGAGTTTAATCCCTGGTGTCCCTCCCAAAATATTGCATTAAAATATTGCTTATATTGATTGATGAATTTTTTGCCTACTCCTTAAAATTTTGGCTCCAGGGTGAGTGCCCCCTTACTTTACCTTACTCCAGTCTCAGTTTTGGGGATTGAAGGAAAGGAGATTAGATCTGGGACAGGGATGAACTAGAGAGACACTGGTAGAAAGAAGGAGATATACCAGAAGACCTCCTCAGATGAAGATCTCAACTCAAAGGTGGGATGACTTTCATGGGTTACTCAGGAAGCCCTACAGCTCAGATGTGCAGTTCCCCCAGGAGGTCTCTCTCAGACTTTCTCCTCTAGTATTTCTATTCCGGGGACCTCTTACCCTGATAGGAGGGGGTTATAAGCTGAGCAAACACAGACATCACGTTCCCCAAAGGACACATGGGATTTGCGCAAACCTGGCCTTGGGCTGCAGACGATATCGACCCCATGGTTCAGGGCTGTCCAGCCAAAGAGAGGAGATGGTGGGGGAAGAAGGGCAAAGGTCTAAAGAGGACCTAGTCTCTGAGCAAATGCCACCCTCTCCTTATCCCAGGCCTTCCTCTTCTCCCACTCAAAAGACCCTTGCCAGTTGCAGCTTCTAGGCAGGACTCCTGGATGGAGCCTTGGGGGTGGATGAAAGGAAGACAAGCCAAAGGTCCTGGCAGCCAGTTTTAAGCATTCCTCCGCCTCCCACCATATGTGTGCACACAGAGTGTCAGCTTGCTTGACTGATCATTGATCTGTCTCATCTCCTGGAGTGAGTATATAGAGAGGAGAGGAGCGGGCAAAATCTAGTTTTTTTTGTTTTTTTTTTTTTTTTTAACATTTATTTAGAAGTGGTTGGACACAATACTTTTATTTTATTTCTTTATGTGGTGCTGAGGATCGAACCCAGGGCTTCACACGTGCTAGACGAGCGCTCTACTGCGGAGCCACAATCCCAGCCCCAAAATCTAGTTCTTTGTTAGCCACGAGACCATCAAAGGATGGTTCTGGGAGGATGGAGGAGGCATCCTAGGAGAAGAGGAGGCAGGAAATGTGAGATGGATACAATAGCTTAGCCCTGAGTAATCTATGTAAAGAGAGAAAAGCAGGCAGGCAGGCTCTGTGTCATTTGGGGGTGTTAGGGTCCTAGCAGGAGATAGAGGACCCCCCCTCAACTGACTATGTCTGCTTCATCAAGAGGACTTAGTAGAGGAATTATATACAAAGCTACAGGCAGGGTTAAGGGAACCAGTGAGGGATGTTGAAACACCAGGGACTAAAAAGGGGGAAAGTCATCAGTGTCAACACAATGATATCAAAATCTAGGTAGAGCTGGAATCATGGAAGGTGTAGTCAGTTGGGAGCTACAGGGACACAACCCAGCCACAGTTACACAGAATCATAACATATAGATAAATAGGTAGCAGGAATGAGAAATAGTCTGACCTCCGTCTCCTCCTATCCCTTGGTCATCTGCCTGGGTCTCCCCTTGGTCAAACTCAGCAGGAAGCCAGAAGGTGTGGGAGCTCAGGTGAGTCAGTCTTCAAGGGCACAGTGCAGGGAAGAAAAAAACAAAGAATGGATGTGAGTGTGCAGAGAGCATTAGCAACGCACTTAGGCAAGGGCCTCAATACACAGAGGGCGTATGTGTCACTTTGGAGAACAATAATCTAATCTTTGGTGAATCCAAGGAAGGGGCTTTTTGGAGAACCAGAAAAATCAGAGGGAGTGACTGGGTCAACTGCCCTGGAATGGGGACCATCGAGTGGAAAGGGCAGTGGACCCAGTCAACTGTGAAGGCATAGAAGATAACGGGGTTGATTAAGGGTGAATTTTGCCTGGAAACCTGAAGGCACTGCTCATGGTTGGAGGTGGATCAGAGTCCCTGGTATGGGGTTTGAGCATGAGGGACATGTTGAAAAGATGATGCCTTAGGAGAGAGGTTATGAGGATAGTATAGTGATTCTTCTTAGATGCAGATCTCAAGTCCAAGGTGGGACAATTTCGAAAAGTTGCTCAGGAAGATGCAGTCCACATTCTAGACAGAGGCAGGAATGGAATCATTCCCTCTTTGAGGAAGGGCACCTCTGTGAGGGATATTTGTTCATTTCACAAAGACTAACTGCACCCACAGGCCTCTACCACCATGTCAGGTATGTCGGTTTTGACAATGTTGCTGTCCCTGTCATAGTAGAGCAAAGACAGGGGACGCCGGGCTGTGGGCACACAGCATGAACCCCCTCCAGCAGTTCCAGTAGCTGTGTTGGCTTTGAGCAGACTGAGCACTGCAGTGTGAAAGGAGGCAGCAATGCCAGGCATCCCTGCCACATGTAGTGGGCACTGCCCTGTGCAGAAGTTCATTGCATAGCCCTCAGGCTGGATGATCCAGTCGTGCCACCCAATCTCACGGAAGTCTACAAAGAACTCTTGTCGACAGCACATTCTGGACCCTCCCTGGCAGTCGATGCCTCGTCTGCGAACCCGGTGCTTGCCCCCAACTCTTACCCGGGCTGACACAAAAGGCCTATGGGCAGCTCCATCCAGGATGATTGAGTTGGGGGCTACCTGGCCTTCAGGTACTAGTTCGAGGGTAAGGTGCCCTTGGCTGCAGGCAGCTTGAGCTTCAGGCCCCAGGAGGAGCTGGTGCCAGCCAGTGGTATCCATCTCTAGCAGCTGCTGAGTAGCCAAGGTGAGGTTGGGGTCACGTGGATTCAACACAAGGACCCTCATGTTCATAGTCCAAGTGGTATTAGGAGGGAGCTGTATAAAGAACATGAGGCTGGCCTGCTGGATCTCCATGCCACCAGAAGTTCTATCAGAGAAGTGGAAACTAAGACGAGTCTGGTTGATGTTGGAGAGGCCTGTGGACACAAGAAGCCCCAGTCATTACAGCTTTCTAATCCTACCTCTCAATTACCTCTCTATTTCCAGCATACTTGAACTCTCTGTAGCACTTGGCATTTGCTATGATTTGAATGTGTCCCCTAAAGTTAGTATGTTAGAACTTTGATCCCTAATGTGGTAATGTTGGGAGGTGGGGCCTATTGAGAGGGATTTGAGTCATGGAGATCAAATCCCTCATGAATTGATTAATGCCCTTATCAGAGGAATGGGTTTCTTATAAAAGGACAAGGTCATGATTCCCTCTCCCAAATTGCCTTTACTTTGTCCTTTTACCAGGGGATGATGAAAGAAAGAAGATCCTTGCCAGTTGCTGGCCCTTTGATTTTTGAACTTCCCAGCCTCCAGAACAATGAGCTAATAAATGTGTGTTCATTATAAATTACCCCATTTGTGGTATTCTTTATAGCAGCACAAAAGGGGCTAAGAGAATTGGCAATGAGAGTGGGATAGTACTATAACAAATACCTGAAAATGTGGGAGTGGCATTGGAGCCTGGTACGAAGAATTTGGAGAGGCACACTAGAAAAGACCTAGATTTCCCAGAACAGAGTTTTAAGATCAATTCTGGAGGGGGCTCTAAATAAAAGGAGGGGGGAGTGTGATATTTCTTAAGAGATTACCTAAGTGCTCATGATCAAAATGTTGGTAGAAATATGGAAAGGAAAGGCAATTCTGATGAGGTGTCAGATGGAAATAAGGACTATTTTACTGGAAACTGGAGTAAAGATCATCCTTATTGCAAAGTGGCAAAAATTGGACTGTATTGTGTCCACATTCTATGGGTTTATGGAAGGCAGAAATTAAGAGTGATGAACTCGGATATTTGGCAGAAGAAATTTCTTAGCAAAATACTGAAGATCGAGATGTGCAGCTTGGGGCTGGGGATGTGGCTCAAGCAGTAGCATGCTCGCCTGGCATGCGTGCGGCCCGGGTTCGATCCTCAGCACCACATACAAAAGATGTTGTGTCCGCCGAAAACTAAAAAATAAATTAAAAAAAAAAAGATGTGCAACTTTTAAAAGTTGCATACAGTAAAATGAGAAAGAAATTATTTAAAGATATAATCTATAATCAAAAGGAAACAGTACATAGAGATTTGGAAAACCCCTAGCCTGACCACGTAAAGAATAAAAAGGCAGCCCAACATAGTGGCTTATGCTCATAACCACAGATTCTTGGAAGGTGGAGGCGGGAAGATCGCAAGTTCAAGGCAGCCTGTGCAATTTAGCAAGATCCTGTTGCAAAATAAAATTTAAAAACTAAGCCTGGCGTGGTGGCACACATCTATAATCCCAGCAGCTCGGGAGCTGAGGCAGGAGGACTGCAACTTTGGAGCTAGCTTTAGCAACTTAGCAAGGCCCTAAGCAACTCTGTGAGACTCTGTCTCTAATAAAGTACAAAAAGGGGCTAGAATGTGGCTCAGTGGTTAAGTGCCCCAGGTACCAAAAAAAAAAAAATTAAAAAATAGAACTGGGAGTGTCGCTCAGTGGTAGTTGGGGTTTGCCTAGCAAGTACAAGGTCTTGGGTTCAATCCCTGGTACTAGGAGGAAGAAATAAAGACTCCATAAGGCTTGCGGTACAGCTCAATGGTAGAATACTTACTTACCTAGTGAGGGCAAAGCCCTGGATATGATTGCCAGCACCACAAAAAAGGTTCAGTTTGGGGCTAGCATATTAAATTAATAAATAACTGAAGAAGAAATTCCTATTAGAAGTGGGATGCTACCATAACAAAAATCTGAAATATGTAGTACTGGCCTTGGGACTGAGTGTTAGGCAGAGGTTAGAAGGACAAGAAAGAGATTATTAGTGAAGGTAGCAAGAACCATGAAGAAATTGCTGTTGAAAGCTTAAGAGAGAGGAACCTGAGTTCTGTATTGGCTATCACCTATGGTAACTTGGAAGCCAGAAACAATATCTAACAAACTTGTGAATTTAGCTAGAGATATTTCCAGGCAGAATCCTGAAAATGCCAATTAGCTTATTTTAGCTGCCTATGATAAGGCATTTCAGGAGAGAGATGAACTAAAAAAGGAACTGTTCAATTTTCTAGCAGAATTTAGAAAAATATTTCTCAAAGGACTTGCTAGGTTGAAAATTAAAACTCTTTTTTTCTCCATCCCTTCTCTGACAAAAGGTTCTCAAAGTAAGAAGTGACCTCAGTATAAAATCCAAATCCAGGGCACTACCAGTTAAACATGGTCTCAGAGTAAAGATATGAATCAATAAAATGTCAGCTGTAAAACCCTGGGTTAAGATCTAACATCTTATTGAGATCTAGAATTTAAGGTGATGTTCTGTAGACTCTCCCAACTAGACAAAAGGTCTTCTAAGAATCTTCAGGGTGTTGTTCCACAACACTAACTTTGGTCTGTTTGTCTTAATAGAGCAGGGTGCCTTTTGTCTAGATGAGTAGACTACAATTTATTATTTTATTTTATTTATTTTTTTAAGAAAAAATAAATGAATGATTTATTGCTTTGTTAGTAAAGGAGAAACACAGGGGACTTTTGTCCCAATAATTTATTATTTTAGAGAACCCACAGAGTTTTTTTTTTTTTTAAGTTGTCAATGGACCTATATTTATTTATTTACATGCAGGAGATTCAACCCAGTGCCTCACACATGCTAGGTAAGTGCTCTACCACTGAGCTATAACCCCAGCCCAACCCACAGAGTTTTGAAGGGAATTTTTTTTTTTATAGTACTAGGGATTTAACCCAGGCCTGCTCTACCATTGAGCCACATCCCCAGCCCATTTTATTGTTTTATTTTGAGACAGGCTCTCACTAAGTTGCTTAGTGCCTTGCTAATTTGCTGAGGATGGTCTTGAACTTGCTATCCTTCAGCTTCAGCCTCCTTCCTGAGTTGCTAGGATTATGGGCACGCATCACCACACCTGGCCTATTATGGTTATCCTGTCCCTGCCTCAGCACTGTATGCTAGGTGTGTGGTAGGCAATACTCAGTATTTTTAGTACACAAGAAGTGATGAGTTAGTTTAAATGTTTAATAACTGGTCTCCAGGGGAAAAAAAAATTTAAAGACCTAATTTGCAGTATTTCCCAACTTCTGTAGTATAAATTCTTCTACAATGTCCAATTTCAAGCTACTAATATGACGTCATTGAACATGGAGTTGTGAGAAGATGTTCACAATCAGCTCTAATGAGGCAGTATGATACCATGGAGGGTCCTGCCACCTGAAGAAATTTCCAGAAGAACTTCATATATTTTCACCTGATGCAGCCTATGAAATCCTGAACTTCAAGCCTGGTCCTAATGCCATAGTGGGATGAAAATTCTGGGGAGAGGAATTGAGAGGCTGTGATTATATTTTCTGTGTGGCAGGGACAGGAATTATTAGGGGCCAGAAGGCTGACTATATATTGGCAGCCTCCTGTGAACAATATCTTATGATTTTCATGCCTTTGATTAGTTCCATCCTACGCTGACTCTTGGCTTGGTCACAATGACTTTTTTTTAAAGGTGCATGCAGGAGTTTGACAATCATTTACACACTGAGATTGTCCTCTTGGAATCCAGCCACCATGGATCTTTTTATTTTTTATTTTTGGTACCAGAGATTGAACTCAGGGGTGCTTTACCACTGAGCCACATCCTCAGTATGTGTGTGTGTGTGTGTATTTATTTATTTAAATTTATTTTTTAATATTTTATTTAGAGACAGTGTCTTACTGAGTTGCTTAGGGCCTCAGTGAGGCTGGCTTTGAACTCACAATCCTCCTGCCTCATCCTCCAGAGCCACTGGGATTATAGGTGTGTGCCACCGTGCTTGGTCAGTCACCATGTTTTAAAGAAATGGGCTAGGGGCTGGGGCTGAGGCTCAGTGGTAGTGCATGTGCCTAGTATGTGTGAGGCACTGGTTTGATTCTCAGTACCATGTATTAAAAAAAAATAAAGATCTATCAGCAACTTAAAAAAAAAGAAAGAAAGAAAGAAAAAAGGAATGGGCTAGACTCCTGAATGTTCAGAGGTTTTTTGGGAAAGGCTATTATGGACTTAACGTGTCCCCTCAAAATTCATATGTTGAAATCCTAACCACAATATTAGGAGTGGGGCTTTTAGGAGGTAATTAGGTCATGAGGGTGGAGCCTCATGAAGGGGATTAGTGTCCTTATAAAAGAGACTTCAGAGAGCTATCTTTTCCTTTTCTGCCATGTGAAGGTAAAGAGAGAAAAGGTTCCTGCCATAGTCCCTCATGGGCAGGAGCTGAGTCTTTTATTTCTTGCTCCCTTCTATTTCAACATTCTAAAGACTTAGCTGTATTAGCCCATTCAGTTATCCTCATTGTCCACATTTACAAACAAGAAAACTATTAACATCCCAGGTCATGCAGCTAATAAGTGGCTGAGCAAAAATGTGAATCCAAGTTGTCTGGTGCCAGAGTTTGTGCCAGGTCTTGAAGTGGTACCTGGGAGAAAGGGACAAGGAAGGGAAGAGTGTTCCAGACCTATGAAAAAGCTTGCAAAAGCTCAGTTTACATTCTGTTTCCCAGGTCCTGTCTCAGAATTCCTGATTTTCTTTCCAGATGCCCACTAATTACTTTAATTACTCCCTCCTCTATGTAAGCAATTCTTTCTTCCTTTTATCACCTATCCCTTTTTCTGAGCCCTATTTTGATCTTGTTCTGATATGGGGTACATGTGGACATGAGATACGGAGAAGTCTTGTAGTCCTGGTGATCTACTTTTTCTCTTTTTACCAAATAAGTCATCTAGAGGAAGTGGGAAAGAATGAAGTGACTGGATCCTGGGGCCAGAGAAAGTACAGACTCCATAGCAAAAAGCCCCTGGATTCAGGCCTAGGAAATGTATGGGCTCATACCATAGCCTGTTGAGGTTTATGTGGTATATAGAGAGAGGAGCCTGAGGAGATGAGGGCAAGAAATCTCTAAGAAGTGAAATTTACTAATACCAAGCTATCCATTGGTCAGGTGTGAGCTATCAGAGAAAGCCTGGGGGTGGAAGCATGGGATTAGGATTGCAGGCTGTAGGAAGCAGGAGTTGGATGGCTTGATAAGAGGAAGTCAGGGTGAAGTTGGTGAGGTGACTTTTCCTTTCCTTGAGAGGTCAGCTTTTGGGGAAGAACTGCCAGGAACCCACCTGTCTCAGCAAAGCTGATGATCTCATATTCTTGTCCCCTGTCGTCCTCCAGAAGTGTTCCCTGGGGGGGACCATGGAGGTGCTGCAGTGCGGTCCTCAGAGCAGCTCTGGCCACAGGACGGTTTAGGGTTGGGCGCTGGCTGAGGTGCAGATTTTCCAGGATGTTTCTCTTGGCCAGGTCAAGAAGCAGCTCCCGCTGGCTCCCCAGGTCCATGGTGGGCCCCTCACAAGCTGGGCACTGACTGCCACCTCTGAGACTGGCCACTGTAGCTGAAGCCAGAAGTAGAAAGGCCAGGAGACATGAGGAGGTCATTGCTGCAGGAGACCCTCTTTGAACAACACAAATCCAGTGCTCAATTGTCTCAACAGTTGTGGTGTCAACTCTGTCCTATCTGCCAGGGGCCCTGAAAGGACTGTGTCTGGCTGGCATGACTCCTTTTTGCAGGAGATTGAACAGCCAAACATCTAACTTGAAAAATGAATCCAGTTACAGGTAGATCTTGGCAAGATGTGCCAACACATAGTCAATGAAAGTGCAGAGTGGGGGATGTGAGGAGAGGTTGGTTTGTTTAGGGAAAGAGATGTCACTGGGCCAATGTTGAGAGATACTTATTACCCATGTTAGCTGCCAGGCCTGGGGACAAAGGTTAGATGAAATTTCTCTTTAGATCACTGGCCTTGCTGGGAAACCTGGGTGGAAAGGGAGTGATTAGAGGTTTGAGGGTAAAGTTTTACTTTAGAGGCTGGCTGATGCAGGGGGATTTCTTGAGCCCAGGAGTTCCAGGCCAACCTGGGCAACATGGCAGGACCCTGACTTAAAAAAAAAAAAAAAAAGAAAAACCACAAATAAACAAACAAACAAAACCCAAACAGTTCAAAGGTGACTCTGAACAAGAAGGGTATAACTTTAGGTCCCTGTTCAACAAGGGTATAACTTTAGGTTACTATTATGTGGATAACTGAGATCTGCCTTCTTCACCAGATATTTCTTTCTCAAAGTTCACTCCACCCATCTGTCCATTCTCCCTCCTTAGGGCTCAAAGCTCTCAGTCTGAGAGTTAAGGTAAGGAGAGGGAAGGGAAGTATCCAAGCCCGATTTTCTGTGTCCTCAGAGGAAAGTCTTAAATGTGGGGAAGGGGCTTAAGATCTAGATTTACTTATCCTTTGGAATTTGTTCTGCCTAGGAAGAGAAGTTTTGAGATTTCTCAGAATTCTTAGCTCTCTTCCAAAAGTCCCAAGTAGTGGGTCCCTAGGAAAAGGGTTCTGTTTCCATAGCAGGGTGTTACATGGCAAGGGTGGAAGAGGGTGGAGGTAGGAAGCACAAGCCTTTCAGCCAGATGACCATGGCTAAAATTCTTCTCTCTCTCTCTCTCTCTCTCTCTCTGCTGGGGATCAAACCCAGGACTTTGCACATGCTAGGCAAGTGCTACCACTGAGCTACTTCCCAACCCTGTCTCTTTCTTTTTTTTTTAATATTTATTTTCAGTTATAAGTGGACACATAGCTTTATTTTATTTTTATGTGGTGTTGAGGATCGAACCCAGTATTTCACACATGGTAGGCGAGCGCTCTACCTCTGAGCCACAATCCCAGCCCCCTGTCTCTTCCTTTGATTAGCTGTGTAACTCTGAGCAAGTTACCTGACCTGTCTTGCTTTAGTTTCTTCATTGGAGAAATGGAAAAAATTATTGGGAACTAAAAAACAAAACAAAACAAAACAAAAAAACACAAAATAACAACAACAAAACAAAACAAACACAACAACCCTGTAGTCCATATATATATATATATATATATATATATATATATATATATTTTTTTTTTTTTTTTTTTTTTTTTGGATAACTCATCTGGTGGCTAAACATGATGTGAATGGAAGTGAGGTTATTCATGTTCTTTTAAAAACATTCCACTGAGGGCTGGAGTTGTAGCTCAGTGGTAGAGCACTTGCCTAGAATGTGTGAGGCACTGAGTTTGATCCTCAGCACCACATTAAAAAAATAGATAAAATAAAGTTATAAAAACTATTTTTAAAACCCCAACACATTCCACCAGGACTTTTGGTGCCACTTAGACTTCAGAAATATTTGGTTATGGGATGCTACCCTGGGGATATATAACATACTATTAATGTACCATTTTGTCTTTCTAAAACTTGAAAACTTCAGGTCAGGGGAGTAGTTCAGTGTTCTTAGCATGAAGGAGGCCCTGGGTTCAATCCTTAGTATCAAGATAAATAAATAAGGGGCTGGGGTTGTGGCTCAATAGTAGAGCGCTCACCTAGCACATGTGAGGCATCAGGTTCAATCCTCAATACCATATAAAAATGAAATAAAGATCGTGTCCACCTACAACTAAAAAAAAAATAATAAAAAAATTAAATAAAACTCAAAAATTTCTGGATTCTGAATTATGTCTAGCCCTAAAGATTTGGAATATGTTATAATAGATTTGTAATGATGATCTTAGTAGTTTTGAGAATTCACTAATTTTATAAAACTGTTGTAAACAGTAGTTGACATAATAAATGCTTAGTAAAAATTATTATTTCTGTCACATAGGTTTGTTTGTGGGCCAGAGTACCCTCATCTACATATGTGCTGAAGAAACTTTACAAGTATTTGCTATTTAGGATGCTCCTTTCCTATGTGACATACCCCAAACTTCCACGTGTATAATGCAGTCACTTAGCAACTCATCTCTGCTGCTCACCATTACACTCCTGGATCAGTTTTTGATTTGCAATACACCTGCTTAAAATAGATATATTACAAGAATAAATGTTACAATCCAGGCTGCTTCTCAGTTACACTCAAGTTCCCTAGACTGAACGGGTGTGTGTCAGAGATTCTTGGCTCCCCGCCACCTCTTTTTTGGTTTTGAAACTTTAAAAATTTTATTTTTATTTGTTCTACTTAGTTTTACATGGCAGCAAAATGTGTTTCTATTCATTGTACACAAATGGAGCACAACATTTCAATTTTCTGATTGTACGCGGTGTAGAGACCTATCATTCATGCAACCATATATGTACCTAGGGTAATGATGTCCATCTCATTCCACCATCTTTCCTACCCCCATAACCACTTTGGCTCTCTTATACAGGGCTGATTTTCTTTTCTTTTTTTTTATATTTATTTTTTTAGTTGTAGTTGGACACAATAACTTTACTTCACTTATTTATTTTTATGTGGTTCTGAGGATCGAACTCAGGGTCTTGCATGTGTGAGGCAAGCACTCTACCACTGAGCCACAACCCCAGCCCCTGATTTTTCTCTTTTTATTGGGATACAATAGATTTAGCGGTTTGTAGTATAAATGTATTTATTTATTTATTTTGTGGTGCTGGGGATTGATAAATGTATTTATTTTTAAAAATAGTAGCTTTATGAAAATATCGTTAACATACAATAAAATTAACCCTTTTAGGGCGTACAGTTTGGTCACACAATTGTGCAACTGTCTCTATTATCTAAGATCTTTTTCTTTTACAATGCTGGGGATAGAAGCTAGGGATTTTATGCATGTTAGGCAAGTACTCTAACACAGACCAACATCTCCAGCTCAAGAATATTTTTTTTTTTTAAGAGAGAGAGAGAGAGAATTTTTTAATATTTATTTTTTAGTTTTCAGTGGACACAACATCTTTATTTTATTTTTATGTGGTGCTGAGGATCGAACCCAGCGCCTCACACATGCCAGGCGAGCTTGTTACTGCTTGAGCCACATCCCCAGCCCAAGCTCAAGAATATTTTTATTACCCTAAAAACATACCCTGTATCCATTAGCAATCTCTCCTCATTCCAACCACCCAATCTAACATTTTAATTTTTTATTCTATTTTTTTTTTTTAAAGAGATGAGTTCTTATTTTACTGTCCAGGTTGGCCTGGAGCTCCTGGGTTCAAGTGATCCTCTTACTTCAGTTTCTGGAGTGTGTGGGACTACGGTTGTATGACACCTTGCCGGCTCTAACATTTTAATATTCATAATGCCTTCTGGGATGATAGCCTTATCTTGAGTTTGGGGGAGAAGATCACAAGTTCCTGGCCTTATTGCATGTTTTTACTACATTATGTAGTTCCCAGACCCCCTCAACTCTTAAGATGACTTTAGCTGCTCCTCTTTTCCCAGTGAAGCTGGGAAATAAGCCTTCCTGAATAATTAGGGAAAAGAGGTAGACAAAAAAGAAGTAGAGGAAGGCTCCTCTCAGGGATGAATGCCTCAATGATTCTGCCTTAGTTGTTCTTCAGTTGCTGCACTTACCCTAGAAAGACTTCAGACCATTTCACTCTATATCAAGGTCCTTGGTAATCTGCTCTTTTCAGTTACATTTCTTTTCTTTCTTTTTTGTACTGCAGATTGAACCCAGGGATACTTTACCACTGAGCCACATCCCCAGCCTTTTTCATTTCGACACAGGGTCTTGCTAAATTGCTTAGGGCTTCTAAGTTGCTGAGGCTGGCCAGGAACTTGTGATCTTCCTACCATAGTCTTCCATAATGCTGGGATTATGGTTATGCGCCACTGCCTGGCTACATTTCCTTCCTTCCTCCCTCCCTCCCTTCCTTCCTTCCCTTTTCTTTTTTTTTTTTCTTTTTTGGAAACAGGTCTCCCCGTGTTGTCCAAGCTGATTTTGAACCCATGGACTCAAGTAATCCTCCAGCCTCAGCTTCTGTGTAGCTGGGACTACAGGAACATGCCACCATATCTGGCCTTTGCACTTCTTCCCCCCAGTTACACTTATGGAGTAGTTAAGATCAGGCTCTGAGGATCAATTGCTTTAGTTCAAAGTCTGGGACTTTGGCTAAATTAATATACATCAGGTTTCCTCATGTATAAATCAGGTACAATAACAGCACCTATGGTCTTGAGGATTAAATAAAATAATAGACGTAGAATGCTACACATTCTATAGAATGCTACACATTCTACATTACACAAAGACTATACAAACACTAACTATTATTTCCTGGCCATCACTATGCCTTCAACTCGAAATCATGGAACATTCCTCTCAGATAATCAATACGTAATGGTGGAATTACATCAATGTAAAGTGCACGGCTTCTTTAGGAAGTTGGTCATTAAATTATTCAAATACTCATAATCAATAACGGGACTGATTCCATCTGGATAGAATGGCGAAATTTAAGATGACTATTAAGAAAAAGAACGGTATCTTGAGGAATGGGTGATGGTAAGAAGAGATTTTAATAACGATGGCCAGAGTTTCTCCCAAGTCAGTTTTTTTCTTTATTTATACAAATATTTATTGAGTATGTGTTCTCTTTTAGGCGCAGAAGTTATTGTCCTAAGTGAAAGACTGTTTTGAAAGAGCTCTGTAACTGAAATTCCTCAGTTATTATTGGCATTATGTTTAAACCTAGGGTGGACCAAGGACCCTAGGGAATCTGGGTAGGAAGCATGACCACACACGCGGGAGCGAGAGACAGCATGCCTCTGGCGGCGCGCACGTTGAGTGTGAGTGGGTGCCCGCGGGCGTGAAGAGGCGCACACAGGAAGCAGAGACACGCGTAGCGCACGACGCGGTGACGACTACGCCGTGGTGACGCATCGCGCAGGCCGCAGCGGGGGGCGGACTCTGGGCCTTTCTTCCCCTTCTGATTTTCCCCCTCCCCCCTTTTCTCCCTTTCCGGGTTTGGTTTCCCCCCTTTTCTTCCCCTCTCCCCCCCCTCCTTCCCAAGTCCCTTTCCCCTCCCCCGCCCCGGTCCCCCCTGCTCCCCCGCCCTGGGCCCCGGGGAAACCCCCTCCAAGAAGAGCCCGCCCCCAGAAGCGCGCCGCCGCCGGCCGTCGGGGCCGAGCCGCAGCCGAGCGGCCGTGGGCCCGGGCGGCGGGCGGAGACGCTGGCGCCCTCCCCGCTACGGCCCGCGTGAGGTGAGGTCACCTCGCGGCCGAGGGGGCGGGCGGCCCGTGGGGCGGGGGCGTGGCGGCCGTGCGGACGGGTGGGTGGGAGGGCGAAGGCCTCTTGGCCTGGGTGCCCCACGCTGGAGCTGCCGGGCCGGGGGCGGTGGGTCAGGGCCGGAGTCCCCGGGAAGGACCGCCCCGAGGTCGGAGACACCCCGAGTGTGCGCCGGGAGCGCAGGCGAGAAGCGGGGACCGCGGGGCAGAGGGCGGGGGTGCTGGCGCCACCTGTGGCCTGTGCGGTCGGACCTAAAAACTGTTGCGCCCTTGGCAGTGCTTGAGGGTGACTAGCTTCCATGTGTTTCTCGGGTGTCCGTTTATCTTTCGAGCCTTGAAAAAATGAGACGGAGAGATGTTGAAGTGCTTCAAATCCTGTTGGTGTCCCTTATAATAGGGACAGGGATTTGAGGCGGCACGTGCTGGGGGACGTTTCTGGAGCTTAAAAAAAAAAAAGTTGGGCCTACACTAAGCTGATAACTCACTCTTCAGCCCCTGAAAACCCTTTTCGATTCGATTTCTCAAAAGGCTAACATTTTTTCAGCATTTGTGAGCATTGACTTACAACTCCAAAGAATATTTAGTCAGAAGTGAATTTTTCTTGGATAATGATTAGAAATGACCCAGTAACGGCCCTGGAGCTGCATTAAAACCCAGGGGAGAAAAGCGAAAAAATTTAAACTCAGATTTCAGTTGGATGAATGTCCTAATACATATTTTTTTCGAAGAGGCTTCAGAAGCCTTAGTCCTAATGGCCGTAGGCAGCATGGAAACACAGGGTGGAGGAAGGTGACAGGTTCCACTTCAGGAATTTCACAGATTCCTAGGATTTTATTATATTTTTAGATAGTCAGATTGGTACTTGAATTAGTTGTTTGTGGTTCCTCTTCCTAATGCATTTCCCCCCCTTTTGTTCAATATGATCCTTTCCCCCCTTTTAGAGCCTGCGACATCAAGACAAAAAATAGAGGTGCAAAGCTGTAGGTTAGATTAATTCAGTTCATTTTTTGTATTTGACTCCATGCTGTTTTCCATAGGGATTGAGATTCGAGAGAATTTTTCTTGAAGGTCTGATGAACTCTGGCAGCAAAAGTTAAATTTCAGAGTTTTAGTGCCAGTTGTCTTTGTGTCCACGAAATGATCTGTAGAGCTTCACAATTTAAAACAAAAAATTTAAAATTTACTTAATAAAAATGTTATGCCTGATATTTTTTAATGAAAAGGAGTCATAAGAGATGTTTTCCTTTCTTATTAAGAATAAAAGCAGTTGTTAGATTTGCCCTTAAGGTTCTATATTTGTAGCATGTCTTTCCTCCAACATACACGCTGGCCTCCTGGCTGTTTCTTGAGCATCCTAGGTGCACTTCTGCCTCAAGAGATTCTTTGCTTGTACCTTTTGGATCACCTTTCCCTTATAAAGCAGCACAGCCTGTCTGTCCCCTTACCTCCTTCAGATTTCAGATTTTTACTCAGCTGTCAGTAACAGTGACATTTCCTTGGCTACCTGAATTGCAAAGAATGGCCTCACATACATTTACATAATTCCCTTTTCCATTTCTACTTTTCTGCTGTATTTTTTCCTTACTCCTTGTTGACCTATTATGTTTTGTATATTTTCATTTCCCCCCATAAGAAAGTAAGTTTCAGGAATGCAGATTTTTTTGTAGTTGCTGTATCATCTTGTAGTTAATATAACTTTAGCACAGCACTTGACATGCAGTAGTACTCAACAGATATGATGACCGACTAGGTGAGCGTTTTTTCTTTTATATTGTTGAGATAGGGTCTTATTTTAGTGTCTGTTCTTGAGCTTCTGGGCTTAGGCTGTCCTTCTGCCTCATCATCTGAAATAACTGCGACTAGAGTTGTTGGCCCTGCTCTGTTCTCTTTTTAAAAATGTTTTTAGTTGTAGATAGACACAATACCTTTATTTTATTTATTTATTTATTTTTAAGTAGTGCTAAGGATCGAACCCAGTGCCTTATATGTGTGTGAGAAGGCTCTACTACTGAGCTACAACCCCAGCCCCCTGCTCTGTTCTTGAACTCTCTCCTTGAATAAGTTTCTGATTTCGATTGGTTGTCCTTGAGGTGTGGGATGGGTTTTCACTAGGATTTTGTAAGGTACTCATTGAAAAAGTTGAGATTTTTTTTTCTGTTAGTTCTTGGGATGTCTCTTTTTTTGACAAAGTCTGTGTGTTTTCAGGTCACTGAAGAAAAGTACTCTAAAGGCAGAGAGGAGGATGGAGTGTAGAGATCTTTATTGTCGGTGGTCTTAGGTTTTGTGGGGCTAAAATGTTTACATAGGCTGGGCTCTTCTTCTGAGATTGATTCACAACCTGCGGAGACACATTTCATTATCCTTACTTCTTTTGCACCAAGAAAGTTGAGCAAACTGGTTTCACTGAAGTTTTCAATAGACTGAAGATATTAATATAGGTAGTCCTGACCTTATGGGTTACCTTCCTCATTCATGTAAATAACAGTCGAGCTAAAAAATTATAAGAATAGATTTCTCTAACAATAGTGGAGTATTTGGGCTGGGGTTGTGGCTCAGTGGTAGAGCGCGCGCCTAGCAGATGCAAGGCCCTGGGTTCAATCCTCAGCACCACATAAAAATAAATTAAAAAAAAAAAATAGTGGAGTATTTGGTTTTAGAGCACATTTAAATTTTTTTTTTTTAACAAATTCATTTTGGGGAGCATTTTCAGTAATTAATCTACGTTACATTTGAGAATAAAAGGAACAGGCCCTCTGAGTTACGTGGATTATCCCTCATTTATCTTTTTGCTTCTTGACTGGTGCATTTGTTACCTTCATTGACTTTCTGGCTAAGAGTGCACTGGATGAGATTTTTCTTTGGAGCAGTCTTGGCTTCTCTTCTCCAGTTTAGAAGGCCGAGAATGAGGTGTGATTTTTTTTTTTTTTTTATTTTTTTTTTTTTTTTAAACTCTTTGCAGGAAGATTGTGGCAAAGTTATGTCTTTTAATTAAACATCTTCCAGGACATTGAAAGCTGCTAGGCCTGTGAGAGACTAGCTCGTGTGGAATTAAAGATTGGGGATCCAATGGGCTGGGGATATAGCTCAGTTGGTAGAGTGCTTGCCTTGCATGCACAAGGCCCTGGTTCAATCCCCAGCATCACACACACACACACACACACACACACACACAAAAAGTGTGTGGGGGAGATCTGATATACATTTGACTGGATGTGGTTCTGATACTAGTGTAAAGAAGTAACAGCATCAGAAGTATATTAGTAGTTTTTGTTTTGTGAATAGTTTCTGACACAATTTAGACATATTTGGAAAAAGCTTCTACCAAACTTTTTGTTGCCCATTTTTAAGTTCTTTCATAAAATTTCTAAGAAATTTTTCTCAGGTCCTCAGGACACTTAAACCTTTCTGTGTCATATTCTCATTTTTAGATAAATACTATTTACTGACAATGCTTCAGTGTACATAGCAATTTCTTAATGACTGTGATAAACTTTCAGAAAAAAGTAGATTTTTGAGGAAGAGGGGAAAAGTGTTGAATTTTCATTATATGGTTTCAGTAATTGCAAAGGAGAGAATTTTGTGGGACAATTTTTTAAAAATTATATATTTTTAGTTGTTGATGGACCTTTATTTTCTTAATTTATTTATATGTGGTGCTGAGATTCGAGCCCTGTGCCTCACACATGCTAGGCAAGCGCTCTACAACTGAGCCACAACTCCAGTCCCAATTTTATTTTTAAGGGTTTTTCTGAGCATCTTTGTAAGATTGGGTAAAGAACTCTGTCTCTGTGTGGAATGTATTGCCAACTTACAAGTAAGAAAAATAACTAGACTCATTGCTTGAAGATGTGTGCATGAACACAGTTGGTGTATCTAATTTTAGACAACTTTCATACCCAGCGGCCTGAGTATTTTCCCTCTGCTGTATCTTTTTTACCCTCTGTGTAGAAAATATTCCACTTGCTGGACAAGGTGGCACATACCTGTAATCCCAGTGGCTCTGGAGGCTGAGACAGGAGGATTGAGAGTTCAAAGCCAGCCTCAGTAATTTAGTAAGGTCCTAAGTAATTCAGACCCTCTTTTGACGTAACATATAAAAAAGGGCTGAGGATGTAGCTCAGTGGTTGAGTCCCCCTGGGTTCAATCACTGGTACCACAAAACCCAAACCCAAACCAAAAACCATTTAATTTAACAGTCTTTTAGTGACTTTTTTTTTTTTTTTTTGCATTGGGGATTGAACTCAGAGGCACTTAACTACTGAGCCACGTCTCCAGTCCTTTTTTAAATTTTGAGACAGGGTCTCACTAAGCAGCTTAGGTCCTAAATTTCTGAGGTTGGCTTTGAACTTGTGATCCTCCTGCCTCAGCCTCCAAGCTGCTGGGATTACAGGTGTGCACCACTGTGCATGGCTCACTGTGCATGGCTCATGGGGTACAGTTTTTAGGCATTTCTGGGTGTTTTCTTAGAGAAAAAAAAGGAGCTAGTTGGTAAATGCTCCCGGAAGTTCTTTTTCCTAACCTGGACAGATGTTATAATTCTTCATTTCTCTCTTTGTGTGAAAAGTATGTCTTATAGCTTTCTTGGAGACCTCGGTCTTTTGCCAGCAAGCAAACATTATAGTTTTGTACCTTGCTCTGAGGTCTCAAAAGTTATCAGCTTGGGGCTGGGGATGTGGCTCAAGCAGTAGCGCGCTCGCCTGGCATGCATGCGGCCCAGGTTCGATCCTCAGCACCACATACAAAGATGTTGTGTCCTCCGAAAACTAAAAAGAAAAAAAATAATAAATATTAAAAAAATTCTCTAAAAAAAAAAAGTTATCAGCTTAATATACATATATCATTCACACATATATATATATGTGTGTGTGTGTGTATATACATATATACAGATATCCCTACATACATTTATATATATATTTGTATATGTGTGTGTGGTGCTGGGGAATCAGACTGAGGATTTGTACATGCTAGGCAAG